TGATTCCCAGAGGAGAGGAGCCCCTGATTCCCAGAGGAGAGGAGCCCCTGATTCCCAGAGGAGAGGAGCCCTTGATTCCCAGAGGAGAGGAGCCCTTGATTCCCAGAGGAGAGGAACCCTTGATTCCCAGAACCAGACAGGAGCCCTCAGGCTGGCCAAGGACAGGCTGGGAGCTCTTGCACAGCAAAGCAGGATTGAGATAAACCCCACTGAGCTCCCTCCAGCAGCATCCCAGTGCCACCAGCAGTTCCCTGGCCCCTCCAGGGTGTCCAGGCAGGTTTGTTTTGGCCCAGAGCAGAGAGCACAGTGACTTCTCAAGCTGAAAGCAGGCACCCTGTCCCTGGAAAGGCAGACCCTTGCTTCAAGAGGTTATTCTTTTCTCCATACATTTTACTTTTTCTGTCTTTACATCAGAAGGTTGATTTCCAAATTACACTTTGCAAACCACAGACTAAAATGGATTTTCCTCCCCAAAAAACTTTAAGCATTTTTTTCCTTGGGCACCTGCCAGGAAATACACAAATCTAAAGGCTTAAGTGTCATGCATTTAAATCGTGGTTTTTGACAAAGGCGAAGCAGAGGTTTAGCAGCTTCACAAAAAGAAGAAAATTACTGATTAGGCAGAAAATTCTTTGCCATTTCCCGAGTTTATCTTTCCTGAAGAGAACAGGCTGCCTGAGGACACAGCAGTGCTCCCAGCAGCCCAGCTGATGTCTGTGCCCTCGCAGGGATGCTCAGGGGCTCCCAGCAAGGTGGAGAGGCCAGGCTGGGAGTGACAGCAGCCCTGGAGCTCTGCTGGGACACAGCAGCCCCAGCCCAGCACTGATTTCCTGCTGCCAGAAATAAATATTTGGCAGGACAGCTGTTCCCAAAGAGGCAGCACAACGTGCCTGTGGTGCGTGGAGAAGGGATTCTGAGCAAGCCTTCAGCAGCACCAGCCTGATCCTCAGTGCTGCTCGGAATCCCTGAAAAAGGGATTTTAAATTCGATTTCCCCTAAGGAGGCAGCGTTTCCTTTGGGAGCTGGGCAGCACAGCCATGTCCTGATGAGGAGCCACTCATTTCACCCCAAGCCTGGGCTGCACAAACGGGGAGAAGCTGCTGCTGCATCCCAGGGCTGTGGCAGCACCCCGAGAGCAGAGCCAGAGAGGCAGAGAAGCAGCAGCTGTGGGGAGCAGAGCACAGCCAGCACTCACCAGACACATCCAGCAGGGCAGCTGCCAGCAGCACAAGGAGGGGGAATTTTCCCTGCATCTCGTGGAGCAGCTCCTGAGGCATCCCAGTGAGGAACAGCCCAGCTGGAAGCAGCTCCCAGCTCCGGGCATGTGCTGCCTGCTCTGAAGGGCAGAGGGCTGGGTCACTTTATAAGAGCTCAGGCCAGACACCAACCAATGACCTGGCCCAGGGAAAAAAAACAAAAACCTGCACCAACTGGAATTTATCGGTTTTCAACAAGAGAACAGAGCGTGGCCAGGTGGACTCTGCGTCCTGAAGGTGGAAAATGTGACTGTGGACACCACGGTGCTTGGGCAGCCCTGGGGGAAGAGTTAAACCCTCCCTGGAGGGCTGGGGGAGGATGTGGAGGGGCTTGGATTTTGGATCTGGGGCTTGGATTTCCATCCCCTTGGGTGCACCGCGGGGAGGGGAACAGCCCTGCCAGGCTCAGGGCTCTGGGATTGTCCACTCTGGAGCAAAGCAGGCTCAGGGGAGAGCTCCTGGCTCGCTGCACCCAGCAGGAATCTCTCAGTGCCAGGCACACCAACCTGCAGCCAGGCTGAGAGAACACAGGTTTGTCAGAGCCCAGCACATCCCTCAGCTGCCCTGGCTGGCCCCAGACCCTGGCAGGGGCTTGGGGACCTTGGCACAAAGTCAAAACCACCTGTGGCTTTGATTTTAGCCCATGGAAAAAGCTGCCAATGTTGTATGAGGAATTACAAGCCACAAGGGTTTGAGTAGCGTGGTAGTTGGATTAACACAGGGTGGAAAAAAAAAGGAATTTTGGGGTTTTTAGAATGGGGTTCAAAGGGATAAGATGGAGGGATTTGGGCATGTCCTGACCTTCTTCTCCTCCTTCTTGCCCTCCATGCCTTGCTGTGCTGGTGACACTTTTCTGTTGGTTTAAGGTACAGACACACTGCCCAACATAAATGATAGATATTGGCACGTTATTGTAAACATGGCACAGGTAGTTTTTGGTATAAAATGTGAACACCCCCTTGAAGGACAGACAGAATGCCATGGCCGAGCTGCTGGCCAGAGCTCAGCAGGTCAGAGAAAGAATGTTCTGGATAAGGGAAATAAACAACCTTGAGAAGCTGATCCTGCACATCCAGACTCCTCCTTTGGCTGCAGGGCTGGGAAAAAAGGACTTTTAATCCTTTTCCATCCCAACCCGCAGGGACAGCGCTGCCCCCGACGGGCTGACACAGCCCTGCCTGTGTGGGAACACCTGAGCAGGGGCAGATAAAGCCCTGCTGACAGCCAGGGCGGCTCCCTGGCAGCAACAATATTCTCATTATTCAACACCATTCCCTCCATCCTCCCGGCTGAGCCAGGGCTCACCGACACCCCTGCCAGCCCAGCCCTGCCCTCACCTCCCTGGCAGAACCAAGGGCAGGGCACTGCAGCTTTTCCCTCTGCCTGGAAGGAAAATTCCTGCCGAGCCTCCAGGTGGGCTTTGTTACCTGTCTGGGCAGGCTGGAACCCCAAAACCCCCCAGATGATGAACGCTTGCCATCCCAGAATATCCCTCTCTGCAGTGGGAAGCTGATTCAGCTGGAAAATTTGTCAGCTCTGCGGGGACAAAGGTTCCCCACAGAATTGGCACCCCCAGGTGCCAAGGAGGGCAGCTGAAGAGGCATTTTAAAGTCAAACTGGGCTGGCCTGTGCTTATTCTTCACAGAAATGCAATAAATTCTTCTGTTTCCTGTGTTCAAAACCAACCACAAAAAAAGCTAGGCTGTATTCATGGCCATTTATTAAATTTATGTCAATTATTAAAGCAAAGGCAGCCTAATGCAAGGTGGTATTTCAGCTGGTAGCTGAGATAAGAAATACACTTCTTCCTCCTGATATTGTTTCACTGGCTTCTGTGGGGGACCAAAACCACTCCAAAAAGCCACTGAGAAGCTGATGTGCTTTGAATTAATTTTATTAAAGCAAAGAAAACTCAAGTCCAAGTGAGATGAAGGGCACTTGTGGAGGGTTTCTGAGGAGTTCAGCTGCTGTGCACGTATTTCATGGAGGAGTTCAGGATGGCCAGGCCATTGAGCTTCCTCAGCTGATGCATGTGCCTGGAGAGACAACAGGGGGAACAGGTGGTGACTAAAAAATAGAATTTTAACCTTTCACTGCTCTGCCCAAGCTTTCAGGGGTGTTTAATGCTATATTCAATACAAAACAGAGTTTCTAGAGAATAATAATAGCAACACAGAGTTGATACATATACTCTTAATAGTGTTTCTAGATTATTGTTGCCCTCAGAAAGACACATTAATTAAATTATTCAAATAGGTGGCGTTTCAGATTAACAAAACTAAGAAAATAAAGTTTCCCTTCCATCTCTGCTGCTTTAGACAAATCTCAGGGCTGAAAGTTTCTCTACAGACTTCTAACATCCCTTCTGTCAATGAACTCCTTGAAAGATGTGAAGACAGAATTGCACCCCAGGAACCCCAAAGCAGGACTTGGGGAGAGGTCACAAGGGGGAATTCTGGCTGGAGGAAGGAAATAGAATTAATATAATTTATTCTACGAATAAATTCATAGAATTTGTTCATATATAAATTCAATAAAATTTATAGAAATTAACCTAGAATTTCTACAAATTAACCTAGATTTGTCTTACCCTGGTTGGTTTCTCAGGGATTATCACCTAATGACAGAAAAAGGGAAATAAAAAAAGGGATTTTGGGGGCTTACCTTGGCTCAGCCACACAGAGCCTGGCCAGGGCAATGGCTGAGTTCTTCTGCACCGAGGTCCTGAGAGCATCACCCCCAGCGTGCCTGAGCAGCAGCTGCACCACGTTGGAGCCCAGCAGCGAGGAGGCAGCCCCGGGCAGGAGCAGGCACTGGCCGAGGCTGAAGGCTGCGTTCCCCACGGTCAGCTCATCCCCCGAGTCCAGCAGCCTCAGCAGCACCTGGAACCCTGGCAGGAGGGGGAGAGAAATCCCTGTGAGGCACCCCGAGCTGCTCCAGCTGCCTGGAAAAGCTGGAGCAGCAAGGGGATTTCATGGAGATTTCAGCAGCCAGGTATCTCCCAGCCTCGTCACGGAGAGAGAAACAGCAATCGTTTCTCACAGTGCCTTGTGAGAATTTTTAGGGAGTGTAGGAATCACTTGTTAGCCTAAACAATCTGCAGGTGGGGTTCTTCCACCTTGCTTTTCTGTTCTTCTCAAGGACGGTGTGTGAGGAAGATGTTTTTATTAATTAGCCAATCAAATAGAATGTGTCGGTCTATATAAGCTGGAGAATCCTTTGTATTAAAGTTTCTTTTTCTCCTCTTGCAGTTTGGTCCCTCCTCTGTTCTTGGGTCATTCTTGGAGCAGAGGTGACAGCCAGGAGCTGCCCCAGCTCCACTTGTCCAGAGCTTTCTCTCACAGAGAGCTGAATGTGCCACATCAACTGCCTTAGACCAGAAATGCTGATGTGGGAAGAGCAGCTGGAAAAAGGAACATAAAAAAGCTTTCTGTGCATCCAGAGCTACCAAAGCTTACCTGGGAGCTGCCCCTGAGGACAGCAGAGGGTTTTGGCTCTGACATCTGAAAGCAGCAGCAACATCTCAGGACACAGAATCCTGAACATTCAAATCCTGAACATTCAAATCCTGAACATTTAGAATCCTGAACATTCACAGACCTGAACATTCAGACCTGAACATTCAGAATCCTGAACATTCAGAGATCTGAACATTCAGAGATCTGAACATTCAAATCCTGAACATTCAAATCCTGAACATTCAGAGATCTGAACGTTCACAGATCTGAACATTCAGAATCCTGAATATTCAAATCCTGAACATTCAGAATCCTGAAAATTCAGATACGTGAACATTCAGAATCCTGAACATTCAAATCCTGAACATTCACAGACCTGAACATTCAGAATCCTGAACATTCAGAGATCTGAACATTCAAATCCTGAACATTCAGAATCCTGAACATTCAGAGACCTGAGCATTCAGAGATCACTGATAATGATAAAATAGATAACAGATAAATACAGCCACGGCTTTCTCACCTGGGAGGCTTCCTCTGGCAAACGGAGCTGACAAAATAAGAATTTGTGACTTCCCAGGTTAAAGAATTCATGACTCCTCGGGTTAAAGGTTAAAGCCCAGAGTTTTGTGGGGACAGTGAAGCCTTGCTGCTGGTTTGAGGCAGTGCCAGCTCAGAGGAGCCTGGCTGCACAAAGGGCAGGGGATCTCTCAGAGGCTTTTCACCAGAGCAAATCCTGGGTGCAGCTCGAACTGCAGGCTCTGCCAGGGAAAATCTCAGCATTCTCTGCTGTGCTCCCTTTAGCTGTGACAGGGGCTGGGTTTTAAAGCAATGCAAGCGGGGCTGTAGCACAGAGCAGAGCACTCAGATCAGGAATTCCCAAAAACTGCTCTGATTTAGCAGCTTTAAACCC